TTTTGTGATTAGTTTTGTTTACTGTTTACCAACCATTTGGTAAGGCGAATTAATATAAAAATATAGCATTTTTTGCCTTGTTTGGTAAGGTGAATTAATATTATTGCATTGTTTTGTCGACTACAAAGTACTAAACACGTTCCTTGACGTGCTAAAACAGTTGGATGAAAACTCCAAGGTTGTGAAGGTGGAGTTCTTCTGTAACCGTGGAGAACTGTTGACTGGTCTGATCTGATTAAGGGAAAAACCTCGTATGATTACACTGTGGCTACGCTTTCTGGCTGCCCTTTCATGTCTAGCTAATGGGATAGCATTGTGGATGAAGAAGCCTTTTTAGCAGCTATGAACTTTTTAAAAAAGGAACTGTTTGTTAATTATGTTTGATGAATAAATCAGGAATGTATTGATTGGATTGACATTCTGTGCCATATATAGAAATTGTATTCCTCAGGATTTTGAAATTAATCTCTGCATTTATATTTCTTTTGTTGGAGTTTATTCATAATATAAGACAATAGTAGTTCTGGTTTTTGTCTTCCTCTATTCAATATTTGAAAAAAAAAAAAAAAAAATCTCGGCTCTGAATCTATGTGTTAAACACTATAATTTTAGTAAAACAAAGTAGATATAAATTTCTGAGTCTCAATGTCTCATCTTTCATGAAAAAATAATCTATTCAAAGAATTCAAACTATTAGTGGCATCAAAAACATGTTGACTATATTGTATAGAGCATAACTGCATATAACAACGGACAAATTATGTCAAGGGCCCCCAGTTATGCTCTCTACCAAATGTATCCAAATATTATCATGCACATTTTAATTTAATTTTAGATATAGTTTGAATATGTCAAAATAAAAAAAATAAAAAGGAAAAAAAACAGCTAATACATTGTTTATGAGACTTGTGTTGTTGCTGTGGGGTTGGAATTTTCAACTTGGGATACTTGTCAGAAAATTTCTACTTGTGATATCCTGGTTTCAGGATTCTTAAAATATATACAACAATGATTTCTTACCCTTGTTTTGTTGATAAATTTAAATATTCTAAATAGGAAAAGGAGACCTAATCTTTGCTAGATAGGATATTGAAGGCTCACTTCTTCTATTCCTTTACATGGAAAACAAACATCTAGTTAGCATCGGAGTCACAAAGAACTATCCAATTTTGAGATTTAAATATCCTTATCAAATTATTGTATATAAACATCGTTAAAATATACTTTGAATTCGAAAGATTTTTCCAATATAACGTGCCCAAGAATTCAATGGACTTTTCAATATCAAGAAAAAAAATCTGATCCTATTTCTTGAGGTGCTAAATAATTTTCCAATGGTTTTCTTGACCCAACAAATGTTGTCTTATTTGATGATATTTTTGTTATGAAAGAATTAATGAATAGGAGTCCTATCCTCCTCAAGCTTAAAGTTTCAGTTCCAAGAACATCTGTATTCAGTGAAAAAAAATGGCAACTCCTGCTGCTACAAGAGACAAATACAGATCCTACTTGAGTGAAGAGGAGATCAACAACACCAAATGGAATTTTGGTCCTCCCAATTATGATGATGTAAACAAGCTCTTTGAAGAAGGAAGAACTAATGTATGCAATTTCAATGCTTATTTCGAGTTTGAATCCCACACAAATTTCAGATTATTATGCAATTATAAGTTTACCATGCAAGTTGACTCTGTCTCTGTTGTAATACAAATCTGTCGTGAGGAAAAAAAAAAACTGATTTTTCAAAATTAAATAGAGTTTATCGTGTTCATCAATCCCCGAAACATTCTTGTTCATTCTAATTTTTTTTTTTTTGGCATTTTAAACTTATTTTTAATCCTAATGAATATGTATATTGTAGATATGGCCGGTTGGATCACTTGAAGAGAAAGTGCAGAGGCTTGTGAAGACATGGGAGATGGAATTGTTACACAAGGCAGATCCAGATGAGTACAAGACCGTTGATGCAGAGAAGTTCAAATTTGGCGTCAATGGTATTTATATATTTTTAACACCATTGAGAATTTAATTTATAATACAGAAAATAAATACACCTTCGAGATGTGGTCTGACCTTACCTCCCACAAACATGGTTCACGTGAAATTTTACAGTTTTTCGATAGAAAGAGATTTCTATAAGGAAAACGCAGTTAACGTAGTTTACTGTATCATGTTAAGCAGGTAGAAAATTTTTCACATTGGCGGAAATTATAAATATTGGGGGAGGTTATAATGCATTTCTTCAGACATCCTTGCCAACATCTTTGAGACTCTACAATTCTGAGGAGGAAACAGCTGGTTCATCACAAACTCTTTTCAAAACAACATTCCCACGTGGATTTGTAATTGAAATTCTTCAAGTGTATTCAGGACCTCCTGTGATTGTGTATAAATTTAGGCACTGGGGTTTCATGGAGGGCGCTTTTAAAGGGCATGCTCCTACTGGAGAAAAGGTTGAATTCTTTGGAATGGCCATTTTTGAGGTACTTCTACTTAATCTTCGTCTTTAAATTATTTAACATGTCTGCGGCTTGTTTGGTAGGATAGCACAAGTCTTTATTAAGAGGGGAAAAAAAAAAGCAAAGGCTTAAAATCTTTGTCTCGTCCAATAGTGCATATCAAACATGTTATGGCTTGTTTGGAAAAGTATATTATACAAGGCTACACAATATCAAGGAGCAAAAAATTCGAAGAAGCTGTAATCTTGTCTATAGTGCATTCTATATTGTCCAGTGCTGAGCACTAAAAACGTTCTTTGATGTATTGAAACAGTTGGATGAACACTCCAAGATTGTGAAGGTGGAGTTCTTTTATGACCGTGGAGAACTGCTGGCAGGTCTGATTAAGGGCAAAAACTCCAATGAATCTACAGAGGAGACACCTTCAGGCTGCCCCTTCATCTCTAGCTAACGGGATATAATGAATTGTTATTGATTATGTCGATGAATAAATATGGGATGGATTGACAATAATCTTTCTGGTTTTTGTCTTCCTTTTTTTCACGATCCGAATGAGTTTCTCAACTCTCAATAAGACTTTGAGATACAAGTAGCCATTCAAAGAGAGAAGGCATAAGTGATATTAAAAGCAAGTTTAATGCATTGTATTGGACAGGGTTGGACATTTCAAGTAATATATTTATGTGACGAGTTTATGTTACGTATCAAACGCGTGTTCTAAATGTCATCACGCGAACATTTTGTTTCGTATGAGATTCTAAGTATAACCAACTATAAAAGACTAAAAAAGGGCTAAATCTTCTAATTTCTTTGATACATATTAGCTTTCAAGATACATGAAAAATGGAAAATATCAGTTCAGTCTCATCTTTAATCCTTGAATTATCTTGTCTGTTTATGAAACTAGATGATATTAGGCACTTGTGACTGTCATTTCATGAGTAACTTGAAGTTTGGTTTTCCTTGTCATCTTATCTAAATTTCAACCTCTTTGATCAGATATTTCCTAACACGGGGGAATTTCGATATATTATGATCATGGGATAATATGGCCTCAAATATAGCAGGTTAAATAGTCATAGGAATGTCAGCTGCATCATTGGTTTTCGCGGAAAATAAAGAATATTCGAGAAATCTAGTTAGGAGAAATTATTTAATTTAGCAACTCTTCAAGATCCTTCTCATAAGCCAGGATTTTATACAGCAAATGGTAACTGTGGAGTTCAAGCAAAAGATTTTCATAACTCATCGAGTTATAAGGATGATTTGGTTTGGGGAGGAACCTGATTGTTCTTTGCCACGGGGAAACAGTGCTTATCTTATGCCCTTGTTTGAGCTCCATTATTTGAAAAAAAATTGATTTTGGAATAGTGTTTTTTGGAGAATGTGGGGTTAAAAAGTAAGGAGAATTTTTGGGTTTATGTGTAATATTATTTTATTGAGAGAATTATGGTTGATAAGAGGAGAGAGAAAAAAAATTAAAATTTAATGCGAGCCAAACATGGGCTAAATATGCTACTGGTAATTTTTATTCAGCAGAGGACAAAGAAATGTTCAAGGATAAAGGGATCTTTTAATGGAACAACAAACAGACTGCTAATGTGGTAAATATTCTTACATTTACAGCATATTTTGTATACTGAACTGGACAGGACAACATATGGATATCTATGTCTCTCTTAATTGATCCTATTGAATTTTCTCCCATGCGTGTAAAAGTATTGTGTAACTTGAAATTGATTATTTTGCAGATTCTGCTTACGAGAATCAGATATTTCGTTGATCCTGGTTATCCATATGAAGAAGCTTTGTCAAAAAACAGGACTGATTTGACAATGTATCTTTATAATAAACAATTCAGCATGACTAAAGGTGATTATCAGATCCGTCAGTTTTTTCAAAGTTGATTTCATGTATTAGTGTTGTTATTGAGTTAATATACTCTAAATTATGGTTTCTCGAGCTATTAGGAGGATTGATTCTGCAAAAACCAGATAGTACACCACTCCAGTATGCTGCAACTGCTTCTTTTCTTAGCAAATTGTACAGTGACTATCTTGAACTTTTACGACGTACTAGTGGAAGTTGCAACACTGATAATTTTACTCTTGAAATGCTGAGACTGAGAGGTTTCTCCATGTCACAGGTACTTACTTAGAAATCATATAAGGCTTCTTTAGAATGGTAAATTTTCCCGCTTTCTGCTAGGTGGACAGAGAGTCAAATGTAAGAAAAATAGTTTAATTTCAAACCAAACAATGAACCATAATTTGTTTCCATATGCCCATAAGATGGACTTGGCAAAAATGAGGATGATGAATAAGTAGTTATATTAAAATGGATAAGAATATACATCAATAAGTGAAGGTGGGCTCCCATTGAGGACAAAATAAGGGAGCGACGACTTAAGTGGTTGAGACTTTTTTTGCGTAGACCTAAAGAGGCTTCCATTCATAAGAGTGTTGTGACCTCAGTAGAACGAGTCATATGAAGGAGATCAAAGACAACATAATCTGTGGTAGTTGTTAAGGATCTCGTGACTTCATATTTTGTAGAGGTAACAAAGAATTGAATAGAGTGGTGGAAAATGATACATGTAATCGATCCAAAATTTGTTTAAAAAGGCTCAGTCTTCCGTCGTATCACTACTATACAAACAAAGAACACTAAACAACTTAGTGGCAATTCTGTCTGATGCAAGATATTCCTGAATTTTTTTTTCTTATGTTTAGGTTGATTACATTCTTGGTAATAATCTCATGAAGATGAGCTACATGTAGGATACGGAGATTGTTACCCAAATCAAGTTCACTACAGGGCTGCATCAATCCCATTTGGTAAATGGCACTCTTGTGCAGAAGGGAATCAGTTTCTGAATTCCAAAGAAAAAAAATCCAAATGTGCTTCTAGGAGCTATGGTAGGAATGCCCGACAAAAACGACATTTTCTTGGATGAAAGAGACAAGCCTAAGTTTACAGAACCAAGTATATCAAGCAATGCTGGTCTAGTTACTGCACTGTTGCACTTCATAATTCTCCCAGTGAATCTTCTGTGGTTTATGATTATTTGGGCATAGACAACTTGTGCATTTTTCAGAATGTGCATTTAATTCCAGCTGTTCCTTAGCAATTCAAGGAAGAAGACAAGAAACAAATGACAGTTGCATCTTGTTTTTGCAAAGGCCTGTACTCTTGAGAATTAACTGTTCATTTTTTAAAAGTTAATATCTTTCATGACTTTCTGTAATTGATCGTAGAAAATTGATTGACAAGGAACAAATCTGTTTAAAACTTAAATAAAAATTATATACCTTTTGTTGCTATAGAGAATCTAACGAAATGTTAGAGTTAAAGCCCTTTTGAGCATACCTCAGGAGTCAAAGAACAAGACGTTGGGAGTGTAAGTCTATTTCCATATTCACTCCTAGGATCTTCCTTCGATAGAAATATCAAAAATAATAATAGCTAAAACAAAGATTTTTTTTATTATCATTTAATACATGCAAGATCGTTACAATTATCCAATATTTCTCTCACAATCTAAGCTAAAAATATTTATCTTCATCGCTTTCTTCTCCCATTTTTACTCTTGCTATTGTTTTGTCAATTTTTCTTATATTCGTACGTATGGCACTTCTATGTGAGATGTAGGCATGTAGCCACATATAGCAGCCCTTTTTCCTTCATCTTCTAAATCATTTTCAACGTGGGATTAAAACATCTCACATAGAAGTTCCTGGGAGGTGGGACGTTCAAACACTACAGAATAAATACTCATTGGATGAAAATGAAATTCTATTGTCCTGTACATGGTCACAAAACTAGAAATGTACTCTCTCTCCAAGACAAAACTGAAATAGATACAGAAGTTTCTCAAAAATATTGCACAAGACTATTCAAGAAAAAGAAAATACTGTCATGTTTAGCATGCAATATTCTCGAATACTATGAACCTGTTGGAACATAAACCAAATTAATGATCACCGAAGACTTCAAAGAATCATTCACTGAACTTTATTTAGTCAAGTGTCTACTAGTATTCCAATAATTGACTGAGTAATTTAAGGAGTCTTCTTGGATATGTGATTGTCACATTTATTCTGATACATTCCCCGTGTTCTCTAATGTGCATAAATTGGAATGTAAAGTGTAGTTTTTTTTTTTCAAGGCAATAAAAAGAAAGTATTTCTGATAAAATAATTCCCAAATTTGATTGCTTTCAAATTGGTATTAGAGTTCAGAATCTTTACAGAAATTGTTTTATCATAATACAACAGTAGCAATAGATTTTGGAAAAGAAAATCATGGCAAATCCAAATAATCTGGTGTCTTTTATTCCTCGTTTCAATGTAGTGGTGGCAAAAAAGCTAGCGGGCTCGGGCTCGGGCCGAGCCCCATTTTGGGGGGTTGGCTCGAGCCGGCCTGGCCTTAATTAATTAAAAAAAATGTAAAATAATAACATTTTTTTAACAAAATAGCTGGAAAAAAAAAATCGAGCCGGCTCAGCCCGCTAAAGCTCGGGCCGAGCCTTATTTTTTTGGCTGGGCTCGGCTTGGGCCCGAAAAAAGCTCGAGCCGAGCCCGAACTTTTTTTCCGGCTCGGCTCGTTGAC